TGGTGAAAGGCAAAAGAGATGGTGTTCAAAGCTGTTGTTAGGGAAGTATCGTCCAAGGCTTAATTTCTACATCTGGTTCTCAAAGTCTGACTGGCTGATTAATATCTGATCTTGTCATTAGTGATCACTTAGTTAGTTGATGACTCGGGCTTTGTGGAAACTGCTAGCCTGAAACATTGTTAATGGTCCTTTGATGGCTTTTCAGAGATTGTGAATTATTAGTCATTTTTTACTTGTGGATGTAGCCAAAGATATGTGAGAAATGTTTGGTCAGACTCCTGGTAGAAAATTTGATCTCCATGTCCTCACTAACCAGTATACCATCAGCCATTGGTGTATACCATAAATTTGAACAATTAGACCACCACCCTTGCTTAATTGGAAACCAGATATTCAGCTTTCCTTTTGTAGTTCCTACCACTCTGGTCCTATAGAATGTAACCAATTTTCCAAGTTGCTATTATGCTAAGTAAGAGAAATGGGTTCTTGTTTCTTCTGCCTACCACCTACATTGTTTTGTAATGATTTTTATCACTGTTGGAATGTTGAGGTAGGCAGGACATATGTGATAGGAAGGAGAGCAAAACTTTAGTCTAGAGGATCTCTGGAGTAACTAGTGAAAATAGGGGAACTAAAGTCTGCCAATTTTTATGGTTTCTAATACTTAACATAGAAGCTATTATAGCCACTATACAGGATTCTTTTTTTTTTCTTGCCATCTCTATTTCTGTCTTCTATACAATTTAAAACCTGAACTAATATAAAAATAAGGTAGGAGCTTGCTAGAACTAAGTTTCTCCCAACCACTCAGCTAGAATCTAGTTAGTAATTTCTCCCACCCTGTGTAAACACCCTAACTTCTCTTTGCAGAAGGTAACCAAGTAAGCTGTATGCACTTATCTATTAAAGATGACTCATTGTCTCTTTAGTTTTTTTCTTGAAAATAATTCTGTATCCTGGCTCATCTGCCTTCCCCATCAAACCTTACTAGCTTTAGGCCTTTTCATAACTGAACTTAAAATTGTGCCTGCTACTCATTGTTCTGTCAGGCATATAGGATCTAAAAAGAGAAAGAAGGTTAATCTCTGCTACCTCCAGAAGAGTTTGATGTATTCCCTTTGTTTCCTCTGCCTTCCAAGTATGCAGTTAAGGCTTTGGAGATGGGGCAGTAGTTTTTCCTTGCTTTGTTTCTGTGGTTCGGCTTTTCCTTCCCCTAGAATTGTATTTGTTCCTTTTGAAGGGCACTCTCTGGACTTGGGATGTGGTAGGCTTTAACAGTTAATTTTTTCCCTTGATGCTAGAGATCAAACCCTGGTCCTTGTGCTGGCTTTACAAAACAACAACAACAAAAAAAAAAAAAACACTTAATCACTGACTAAATCTTTTACCCTTAAAACCAATTCTATTGGAAGATTGTGAACTCCCAAAGGCTGCCTTTGTTTTAGACATTGGTTAGGAGAATTTGAGTTCTGGAATTTGTATAGAGACTGTTATTGAATTGTGAGTGAATGGAAGACTCCTTGTGATTTTTCTCAGTATATCACCTCTTTAAAAAAAAAGGCAAAACAAAGCACCATCAGCATGCTCCTGAAACAAAACACTGTACCTCTGAAGACAAGAATCTAAAAGCACAGAAATGTAGTTTTCCTTTTTATCTTTACAGGAACTAATAATGTCTTTTTTTAAAAATGTGAATTAAATTAACTTATTTTTTACATTTTTATTTAAAATGTCTCTAGTGAGATGCTAGATTATCCCATGGCTTTTCCTGTCTTCTTGATTCACTGACCAATACCCTCAGAAAGGAAGAGTGTAGTGGTATTTTTATTTTAGTTTGAGAAATTAAAATGGATTATACAACTACAGACTAAAACTGGTGGTAGGGAACTTTTCAATAGGAAACAGGAGTTAGGTATGGGTTAAAGCTCTTATTTTGTGGACATTGCTTTTATATTCCATATATGTTAAAAGATTACTCCTTACTGTGTCCTTCCCCTTCCCCACATCACGAAAATTATAGAGCTAGAACTTCATCTTGTACCAGCCCTTTAAATCACAAGGATATAAGCCTAGAATTCTTTCCATCAGAGAAGTGAGGCTAAGTGAACCAAGGCTCTGAGAATAAGCTCTCTGAGGACTCCATTAGACTGTTCCTAATACTTAATAATGTGGTATTAAGCATTTTGAGCCCCCAAGTGTCTTGTAGAATAGAAAAGGCCAGATTATCCATGTCTTAAAAGGCAAAACTGTGGAGTTTGGGTAGACTGGTTCACAATGCATTTAATTCATAATACCCTGCTTTGAAATCATATGCTACTGAGATTTTGTTCATATTCCACTTGCTCCCCTCAAAAAGAAGCTCACACATGTATTCTACACATAATATCTAGAAAGGGCAAAAGAACTCTAAGGCTGCATTCATGTCATAGATTCTGACATCTCAGAATTGACTTAAAGGTGGAAGAAAACATACCAAAATTCCTTTGCAGTGCCATAGCTAGAAAGGCTGCAGACATCACGTTGTCCTAGGAACAGAAACTAGGCTGATAACAGACAGAGCTAATTCTCTCTGTTTCCTCCTCCCCTAGGTGTATCAGTCACCTCCAGTAACACGGGCGTGCCAGATATCTCGGGTTCTGTGTACTCCAAAACCCAGGTAGGTGCCTGGTCCAGATAAAAGTAGAAAGAGATGAGGTGGAGTTGCAGTTAGAACAACCCTCGGGAGGTGTCAGAAACCCATCCTACTTTTCTAAATGAATTGTCTTTAGGCTTCAGTTTCTCTAGGACTTAAATTTAGCTCTCTGAGGGGGAAAAAAATGAGAAATATCATAGGACGGTCAAGTGTGGTAAATTGTCATGTGATGTCATTTACTGTGCAATGGTCTTGGCCCCTTGACCTACCCACTTACTACCATTTTTATAACATAGCAAGAGAGTAAACATGGAAATGGAAGGAATCTAATTTTGTTTCTTGTAAGTCCATAACCAAGAGTGGAAATGAAGTGAGGTTATTTGTTACTGAGTTATCTATAGGTATGTCTGTTGTCATTTTTATGTCCCAGCACCTTCCATACACAAAATATCTCATTGTTTATTCATTTCTTCTGAATATCTAAGGAGTTTTAATTTATGCTAAACCACAGAGGCAGGAATGGCCAGACTAGTGAGCAAATTTTCCTGTATTCACATGAAATATACAATTTTATTTATTTTGAGGAAGGGTTTCATTATGTATTCCTGGCTAACCTGGAACTCACTGTGTAGACTAGGCTAGTCTCAAACTCCTGCTTCCCAAGTAATTGGGATTAAAAGGTGTGCACCATCACTCCTGACCAAAGTAAGATTTTATGGGATGCTTTGACAGTCATCTTGCTGCTTGGTGGTTTTAACAAGAGGTCAGCAGTATCTTTTGTTTTGGGTTGTTTTTTTGTTTAGTTTTTTTGAGACAGGGTTTAGTTATGTAATCGAGCTGTCCTGGAACTCCTTCTGTAGAGCAGGCTGACCTCAAACTCAAAAAGATCTCCTGCCTCTACCTTCTAAGTACTGGGATTAAAGGCATGCACCACCACCTGACTTCTCTCTTTAACTTATGAGGAAACTGAGGCTGAGTGGTTAATTTGCCTAGGATAGTGGAGCTCTGAGAAGGCAGAGCTAGGAACAAAGACTTTTGAATGTGACTTGAGGTGTGTGCTATTGTTTCTGACCATGTTGCTTTCTGAGCATAGGGGTATTTGGGCTCAGAGAGTCCTAAGATTCTTCTGATGATCCTTTTACTCTTTGTCCTCCTCTTTGTCCTCCTGTTCTCCTGGAATAGCAGTCCTTTGAGAAACAAGGGTTTCATTCCGGTACTCCTGCTGCCTCCTTCAACTTGCCTTCAGCCCTAGGAAGTGGAGGGCCCATCAATCCAGCCACAGCTGCTGCCTACCCACCTGCCCCCTTTATGCATATTCTGACCCCCCATCAGCAGCCACATTCTCAGATCCTTCATCATCACCTGCAGCAGGATGGCCAGGTAATAGCCCTTCCCCCCTCTCTCCTTTCCCTTCCTCTTCCTTCCTATCCCTTAAAACTGCCTCCCTTTTCCTTTTCTTAACCTTCCTTCCCACCACCTTCACCCAGCCCTCACCAGTGCCAGCCAGGGGCACACAGCACATACAGACACAAGCGCACATAACATGAGCAGTTAGCAAAGGAAACATGAGAGAATGGGCCAGATTGAAACCCTTTTGCCCAGTTCCTTTGGTACCTTTCTCCTCCACCTCCCGAGGCACAGTTGTCCTCATCCTGTCAGACCTGGGTCACACCTTCCCTTTTAACCTCTCCCAGCCTTCTCCCTTCCCTGACATTATAGCTTTCCCTTCTAACGGTGGAGTTCTATTGTCAAAAGTTTGTCCCTTTATTTTCCATATATCCTGGTTCTGCCTCAGCTACCATATTTGCAGATGATTCTCTGTTGCCAGCGCCAGCAGGAGGAGCAGGTAATGAAACTGAATGATAATATGCTTGAACCAACTTCTTTTTAGTCCCCATTTTACCTCCACAGCCTCAGATAACTTGAAAAGCCTACCCAATCACAAATCGGGATACACGAACAGAAACACTATGCTAAGCTCTCTGGCCTCCCCATCCTCTCTCTTCCTTCCCCCTTCAACACCCTCTTTATCTTTCTACCCTTCCCCAACTCTGGACAACATTTGGTTACCACAATGGAAAAGATTCTTGGGGCAACATCTGGAGCCTGATGCCTCAGGTCTTTCCTGCTTTCTTTGAATTGGTTTCACATTAATTAATATGTGGTGGTGGGTGGATCTAAAGGGTAGTATTAAAAAAAAGAGAGAGAGACCACTTAAGAGCTCCAACATAGGTGGCTGGGCGACTTCCTGCTCTCAAAGATAGCTTTCCATATTGAGGCATTCACAGAGATGAGTGAGAATGTAAACATCTGTGATCACTCACTTCAAAAACCTTAAAAAAGGCCAAAATTTCCAATTTTTTTTTTTTTTTTTTTTTTTTTTTTTTAGACCAGGACAGTGGGTAGTGGGGAAGACAACTGAACAGGAATAGAATCAACTCACCATCTTATATCCAAAGTTTTCTTGTCCACTTTTCATTTTTCTCTATTTTAAGGTTTAAAAAAATGCTGCCTTGTAAAAGAGGCTATGTAGACCGAATTTTCTGTGCTTGAAAAGTAAACTTCACAGTAGATTCTAAGTAAAGGAAATGAGAGAGCATTAACTATTTTACACATTTCCACTTGAAGATGTTACAGATTGGTCCCACTAACTAGACACCTTTTTCCTCCCCATAACCCTCCCATTCCCCTGCAGACGGGCAGCGGGCAACGTAGCCAGACCAGCTCCATCCCGCAGAAGCCCCAGACCAACAAGTCTGCCTACAACAGCTACAGCTGGGGGGCCAACTGAGGCCCTGACCCTCTTCTCCCGGTCCCATCTTCTGAGAGGGCTTCTCAGCCTGGAAACTATGGAAACAGCATCAAAGAGAGAAAAGAATGTGGAGCGATTCCGCTGCTCCACACCCCCAGCGGCCCATCCCACACCTCAGCTTCATGTCTGTCCCTTTCCTATACCACCCCACCCTGTTGTATGTATTATAGGATTTGTATTTTCTCCCCGCCCCCTTTTCCTCTTTGCATTCAAGATTATGAAACTTTGCTGTGGGCCCTGCCTTTCCTTCACTTCTTCCTATTCACCCTGGTGGTGTATGGGTGAGGTGGGGAGGTGAACCCCCGCCCCCAAATATATATTAGCCCAACAGCCCTAAGTCTCCTCCTTTATTATTAGGAATACCAAACAACACACAAACAAATGGCGTCATAAATATGAACAGCATTGTCATATGAATTAGTTGAAGTGGTTTTTTTTTTGTACTGTGTCCTCAAACTTAATGGATTAATGTGTCTTGTATATATATACATATATATATAAAAAAAAAAGGAGAAAAAAAACAAACCTCTACCTTCAGCCTCTGCCCATTCTTGCTCCGTCTAGGATATCCTCACTCTCGTCGATGACCAGCTTGGTGAATAAGTATTACCGTACCAACTGGGCCTCTTCTAGCAGGCTCGAAGGCTGTGGAATAAAGTGAAATCTTTGCCCTTTAAGAACTCTCACCTTAATGTGCTAATATTTTGCCCATAAGGGGGATTCTCTTTCATATCCTGTGACTGGAAAGAACCACTACAAAACTTTTCTTCTAGAAACTGCCTCAACTACATCAAGTTTCAGGAAGTGAAGGGGGAAGGAATATGGATGTTTAAAAGGAAAAGAACTGGGAATATAAGCATGATTTTAAGGGATTTTTGAAGTCTGAAGCCAACTTTATCTGTTGGCTGGCAGAACTAAAGCTCAAGCGGCTTTCCCTTTATAGAAGTAGACTGCAGTAGTTTTTGTTCCTTGAGTTTTGTTTTTGAGACAGTCTTATTGTGTGACCCTGGCTGGCCTGTAACTTGGTATGGAGACCAAGCTGATCTCAAATTCAGAGGTCTGCCTGCCTCTGCCTATTAGGTGATGAGGTTAAAGATTCTCAACAAACACCATACCCTGCTTTGCCTATTTTATGTGGCCTTAGAAATGCCCAATTTCTGGGAAAGGGTTGGATGATGTAGAGCAAGACCTGTGGTGGGGCATTGTGGTAAAAAGTTTTGAACCTCAATTACATGGGAAGGGGAGTTTTATTTTCTTTAGAAGAGCCTGAGACTTACCGTATTGCCAAGGATTCAAGAGATTCGTTCGGCTTCAGACTTCCCAAACTGCAAGTATGGCTTGGGAAGTGAGGGTGTGTCCAGGTCTCATGTAGCTCAGGCTGGCATTGAACTCGTTGTGTAGACCAGGTTGGCTTCATACTGAGATCCACCGGTCTCTGCCTCTTGAGCCTGCACCACTGATTCTAACTATAGAGTCTTTGTTCTTTTCCAAGATGCTTCAGTAGTTACTCTTCCCTGCCTAGTATAAATCTTACCTTGTTGGTTGTAGTCTGTTTTTTTAAAAGTTTAAAAGAGTAGCTAGGCATGGTAGCAACGGCCTATAATCCCAGCATTTGGGAGGCAGAGTCAGGTGGATCTCTTGAGTTCGAGGCAGGCCTAGTCTATAGAGTTCCAGGACAGCAGAGAAACCGTGTGTCGAATAAACACGTTTAAAATAAATTTTTATGGCCCGAACTAACTCCTTAGTAGCTGAAGAGATTCCTAGCATCCTCATGTCTTTATCCAGCAGTAGGGAAATTGCCCTGGAAGGAGCTTAGTAAAACATTTCCCAACCTGTAGTGTTGGACGTCACATCAGTCTAGAAACAAACAAAGTGGGGGTGTTTTCTGAGCCGGGGTCCAGGCGGGGCTCGGGACAGGCCGCTCCCTTTGGCGGCTAACTTGGAACCATCCAGAGAGTAACGGAAACACCCCTTGGGGACTGGCAGATGGGCGGGAAAGAGAATCACTAGAAGGGGTGTGATCTTGGACAGCGGGGATCCGTAAGCCCACCCTCACTCAAAACTGAAAGGTAGCGTATAAGAAGCTTCGCGTCGGAGGAGCGCCGTCAGCCCCGCCTCTTCCTTCTCCGGGTTTCGGCCTTTTTACGACAATGCCGTGTTGCAGACTTGCTTTCCGGCAGCGAATGCTGAACCCTGGCTGTATCTGACAGGGTAGCGCAAGCTGGCAGTCGAGTGGTTCTCATGTCCTGCCGAAGTTTAAAGTTTCTAGGGCACCTACAGGAATGAGCTTCTTTGACCTTTTCCGGGGCTTTTTCGGCTTTCGTGGACCTCGGAGGTGAGCGTAGTTCTGGGCTGGACCTGAGGAAGCGGTGTTCTTTGGGGACGCTTGACCCCTTCACCGTATTTTTGGAAAGCTTCCTTCCCCGCTCCCTTCAACTCCTGCTGAGAGGATAGAAATCTCAACCTTGAGTACTCACCACGCCACAGTAACCAAAGCGGTGTGAAGAGGAGAGAAACAGTGCCTTTCTCCAGAGTGGGGTGATGCAACAGGGAGCTGGGCGGAGAAGACAATGGGGGCCTGGGGAATGAGCAAGTGAGAGGGACCTTAAGGGGCAATTAGGAGTGCGCAGTCAGACACTGAAGACAAGCCACGGGAGGCGTTTGCGAGGTGTGGGGGGCGGGGGTTGTCATGGGCTCTAATTAGAGACAATACAAAACCCTAATAGATCCACGAGCTTTGTTTTGACTTGGAAGGGAGCTCTCCAGTGTTTTCTTCAGCTACCTAGACCCCAACCTTTTGTCCCCATTTTACTGGCCTTGGGTTGGTTTTATTGCTTAGACAGTGCTGAAATCTTCGTGGCTTATCTGCCTCTGCTCTCAGCCACAGAGATCCCTTCTTCGGAGGGATGACTCGAGATGATGACGATGATGATGACGAAGAGGAAGAAGACAGAGGCACGTGGGGTCGAGGGAGCTATAGGTTTGATGGTTCTCAGCCTCCGGAGGAATTCGGTTTCAACTTCAGCCCAGAAGAAGGCATGCGATTCCACGACAACTTTGGCTTTGATGATCTAGTACGAGATTTCAATAGCATCTTCAGTGAGATGGGGGCCTGGACCTTGCCTTCCCACTCTCCTGGTGTGTAGATTCTCCTGAGGGAGAATATTGGGTTAGGGAGCGAAATACGGACCTTGCAGAGTAGTTGGGGATATGCTAAAGCTGATTTCAAAAAGATTTTGTGTGTTTTAAGCCCTTTCCTATCCTAGTATCACCAGCCAACTTTTTTACAGAACTTCCAGGTCATGGGTCAGAAACACCTGGTGAGAGACCGCGGGAAGGGCAGACGCTTCGGGACTCAATGCTTAAGTACCCAGACAGTCACCAACCCAGGATCTTTGAGGGGGTCATGGAGAGTCATCCAAGACCTGAATCCCCCAAACCAGCTCCAGATTGGGGGTCTCAGGGACCTTTTCATAGGGTGAGTACTCTGCACCTGAAGTGCAGTAACTACAACTCTTACTGGAATTTCTTAGAGTTGAGTTAGAATTCTAGCCCCTCTAATTAGTGCATTTGTCTGGATTTTCTTCTTTGTTGGGCTTTTTGTTTTGAGACTTGGGATTCACTGTGTAGACCAGACTGGCCTCAGGTTTAGAGATCTGCCTGTCTCTGCATCAGGATTAAAATGTGCCAGCACACCTAGCCTAAGGTTTATTTATTTTTTCTTATGTAGGACTGTTTTTTTCAGTGCATGTGGAGCATGTTTTTGCTCCACATGTGCCTGGTACTCATAGAGGTCAGGAGAGGGCATCGAATACCCGGGAACTCCAATTATAATGATTGAGAACCACCATGCTGGGATCTATACACTATGGTTTTCTGCAATAGTGCCCCCTGCCCTCTCTTTTTATTTTATTTATATATGTATTTTGAGACAAGATCTCTCTGTGGCCTTAGCTGTCCTGGAACTTGCTATGTAGACCATGCTGGCCTCCCTTGGCCCTGAGTTTCTTTGTTTGGTTTTTTGTTGCTGTTTGTTGTTCTTAAGATTTATTTATTTTAGCCGGGCGTTGGTGGTGCATGTCTTTATTCCCAGCACTCGGGAGGCAGAGGTAGGCAGATCTCTGTGAGTTCGAGGCCAGCCTGGTCTATAGAGCAAGTTCCAGGATAGGCTCCAAAGCTACACAGAGAAACCCTGTCTCAAAAAACAAAACAAAACAAAAAATTATTTATTTTGCGTATGTGTGTCTGAGTTTTTTGTGTACCATATGAGTGCCTGCAGTGTTGAGGTATTGTTGAATCCTGTGGAGCTCTGAGCTGCTTGATATCCCCAGAAAAAGCAAGTGTTCTTAATCTATGGGCCGTCTTTCTAGCCCCTTTGTTTCTGTTTTCCATTTGCAATACAGGAGCATAGAATACAAAAGGGAAATGTAAATATTCTGCTTTTTTTAATTGCTAGTTACAATTCTTGATTAAGAAAGGGTCTTGAGAGCTGGGCTGTGGTGGCACACGCCTTTAATCCCAGCACTTGGGAGGCCGAGGCAGGCGAATCTCTGTGAGCCCAGGCCAGCCTGGTCTACAAAGCTACACAGAGAAACCTTGTCTCAAGGTAGGGGTAGTCTTGAGGCTGGGCATGGTGTTGCCCACTTTTAATCCCAGCACTCCTGAGGCAGAAGCAAACTTATTTCCTTGAGTTCAAGGCCAACCTGTCTAGACAAAAAAACCCTGCCTGGAACGAACACACACACACACACACACACACACACACACACCAAGGTGGGGGGGGGGCATCTTGAGCAGGGCAAGGTGGTGCACACCTTTGATCCTAGCACTAGGGAAGTAGAGGCAGGCAAGTTTCTGTCAGTTTGAGGCCAGCCTAGTCTATAGAATGAGTTCTAGGATAAGAAACCCTGTCTTGAAAAATAAAAACAGTCTTGAAGATGCAGGAAAGTATTTTAGGAAGCCTATTTGGTAAAAGTTCATATTCGACTACAGAAGCTGTGTGAACATAAGCTGCCCGAATGGAAGTGTTTCTGGGGTTTTGGAACTTAGGAGGAGTCTGGGGTCTCTGACCCTTCAGATTTCAGATCAGAAGGTGTCTTTTCACCAACTATGTGTGGCTTCTTCTACAGTTGGATGATATATGGCCTGTGACTCCCCATTCTAGAGCCAGAGAGGACAATGGTGAGTCTAGAGGGAGGGCACATTTACCATGTCATTCTCCTAAAGTTCTCTCAGAAGTTTCTTCCTCACATACTTGTCCTGTTTTCTTCCTTCCACTGTCTTCTGGCTTTTATCTCTCTGCCATTCCAGATCTTGACTCCCAGGTTTCCCAGGAAGGTCTCGGTCCACTTCTTCAACCCCAACCCAAATCCTATTTCAAGAGCATCTCTGTGACCAAGATCACTAAGCCAGATGGGGTGAGTTGAGAGAGAAGAGTTAAACTGGCCTGAGAATGCTCTGGAATGAGGGAGGGGCTTGTGTAAGAAAACACTAAACTCAACATAGTAGCCTTAAAAGTATGTTGGGACTTCTTGCAGGTAGTGGAGGAGCACCGCACTGTGGTAGACAGTGAGGGACGGAGAGAGACCACAGTGACCCATCAGGAAGCACAGGACAGTTCCAGAAGTGGTAAGTTAGGAGTGACTCAGCCATCTCTGACCTCCTTGGGGACAGATATGCCTATCTATTGATACTTCCCTCTGTCTTGTTCAGTTTGTCAGTGTTTGGCTTTCTTCCTTAGATCCAGTCTCGGAAAGATCTTCAGCTCTGGATGACCCCTTTTCCATCCTGGATTTGTTCCTAGGACGTTGGTTTCGGTCCCGGTAGCTTTGTGAACCTTTGTGAGCCTTCAGGTCCTTTCCACTCCCTTCCTGTTGCCCATTGTCAATAAGTTTAGCTTTTTGTGTCATCCTAAGGGTCTTGAGTGTATGAAACAATTAATTGAGCTTTTGCCAGTCTGTCATTCGTCCAACCTGACCAATAAAGCCTTTATTTATGCTAAAGGTCTTGGTCTTGATTTTTGTCAAGGTTCCAGACCCATCCAGGGCTTCCAAAAGATGTTGGCTTACAACTTTATATTGTGTGTGTATACCAGGGATGGTATGCACACGTAGAGGTCAGGACAACATGTAGGAGTCAGTTCTGTCCACAGTGTGGGTTCCAACTCAAGTTCTCAGACTTGACAGCAGATAGTTTTACCCACTGAGGTGTCTGTCTATCTCTCCAGCCCTTCATTATTATTTTTTAAATATTTTCCCATTTCTAAAACAAGACAATAAATGACAGGTACAAGAAGAAAATGATATTCTTACTAAGGAAATGACTAGAGATAATTCCAGTAGAAAAGGGTATCTCATGATTGCCAAAAGGTATTTGTATGAAAGTAAGATAACTGCTTCCCTAAGTATAGGACCACTGGCTGAATAATTCATAAGATAACTTGCACTCCCGTGGGCAAATAAGCTTTTGTAAGACAGGGTCTCACTATGTTTCTGATTGCCCTGGAGTTCCCTATGTAGACCAGGTTGGCTTTGAACTCAAGAGATCTTCTGCTTCTGCCTCCTGAGTGCTGGGATCAAAGGTGTGTGCCTTTTTGTTTCTTTACCTTTATCTTTTATTTCCATGGAATTATTTATTTGTTTTAATTAATGTTAGAAAAATATAACTAGCAGAAATATTTTTTTTTCTAATTAAAAGATCTTCTTAGCTAAGCTGAAGTTTTTCTTTTCTTTTAAAATTGTTTTTGAAACAGGGTCTGACTCTAGACTATAGCCCAGCTGTCCTAGAACTCTATCATCCCAGGACTGTCAGTGCTACATAGAGAAACCCTGTCTCAAAAAACAAACAAAAAGTATAACAATCAAGGACAAGAGAATAGTGGTTTAAAAAAAAAAAATCTATTGAGGGTTGGGAGAGATGGTGGTGCCTGCCTATAGTCACAGCTGAAGCCAGCATGATCTACAGAGTGAGTTCCAGGACTGCTAGGGCTATACAGAGAAATCCTGGTACATGGGGGCTGGAGAGATGGCTCAGAGGTTAAGAGCACTGACTGCTCTTCCAGAGGTCCTGAGTTCAATTCCCAGCACCC